ATATATATATATATATATATATTTATGTCATGCATTTTTCGGTATTTTCTCTTTTTGGAATCATTTGATGTGGTGGTTATCATGTGAGCAGAGTGTCATATTTGGGTGCTCCCATAAAATCTATCTATATCCTACTTTCTATTTAATATATTAGCCTATGGGCTTTTATAAAATCATTATCAAGTAAATTAGTTAGATATAAGTAATTTTATTAAACTAAACGTTTTGGATATGAACAATCTTTTATTTGATAATATTCCATGACTTGAATGCAAACTATAAGCAGTAATGACTACATAACCATAAAAGTTGCCGAACACTGTTTTGAGAGCTTATTCATATTTCATGCTAATTTGGACAATCTGGTAATTTACAAATATCCGAAATTCATTCGCTGACTCAAGCAAGGCAAGAATAATTTTTCCAAGGCATGGGCCTTAAACCCCACCAGTGGTAGAATGTCCCGCGAGACGGCTTCAGAAATTGGCACAACACAAACCAAGCAAACTCTCACGTCGAAGAAAGCCGTGCGGTGGAGCTATTATTGATCTCAGTGTTTGTCCGCGTGTAATCATACCACTCAACATTTATTCACAGAACTTCCTCCTCAGAATTCCGACACAACGCTCCTGGTTGTATCCGCTTCACAGTGGCTGAACTGTAAATATCGACCACCGATAGCCTTCACCTCCATACAATCCAAACAAGCTCGTCTTGTCGTCACGGGTGAGCATTAATGCAGTAGAGGAGCGCGTCCTTCAAACCCTACTCTCACTGGTTTCCGTGGCTTGTTCTGCGGTGAAGGCATCGTCGATCTACCTGGTTCTTTTCATGGTGAGAGTTGTAATGCTTTGCGGTTTTGTTATTCAGATCTTTGTAGTTCCTTATTTTCAGAGGGAGCAATTTGGTTCGAGTTCGTTATTGTGTTCCTTCCTTTGGGTGCGGTCTTCTTATTAGAGTAGAGAAAGCTTGTTTGGATGAAATAGGTTTTTTAAGTTTTTTCTGGAAATTTAATTTTTTTGTTATTTTTTGTGATGGTTGTGTAGATGAATGCTTCGCAGTTAGCACTTGTGTGCACCGTCGCTTTCTACTTTTTTTTGTATTTAAAAATGTTTGTTGTAGCTTCTTTACTCTTTCAGTAATGTGATGCTCCTATTGCTTTTTAGATTTTCGGAAATTTGACTAGGAAGCAGCAATCTTATGAAAATTTGAAAAGGTCTGTAGAAGAAGGGTTTGCCGTTTGGATTCACGTTCGCTTGTTACTTCAAATTCGTACCTGATTCATAGAGTGAATGTTTTTGTTTTTTTTTAATATTCGGTGAAGCGCAGTTGCTGTAAGTTCATTAGCAAATGGACAAGGAATTGCGTAATTCTTTCGCTGTGCTGTACTTTTCTTAACTTGTTTTTTTTTTTAATTTTTTGACCGAAGTCGTGCTTTTGTTTGTCGGCAAATATGGTTTAACTGATTTTTTATCCCCCCTACTGTGGCGTAGTGGTTTGTGAGCTTTGCCTCACTTATCAGGCACGGGATTGAGTGTCGACTTTGATTTGTGTATATATTGCTATTAAATTCCATACAAAATTTGAAATAGGATTTAAGAAGTCTTTTTGGTTGCTAGGATTATTTTTCTGATTAGCCTGCTTGAATGAAACTTTAAATTCGAGTGTTGTTTGAATTATATGTTTTTGGGTTGTGTGCTTTATTTTTGTTGATTCTACTCCGGATTTGTCCAAATACTGTACCTTAGGCATTCCAAAATGGATTCCTTTATGCAATAAGAACTAGTCTTTCGAGATCTTTACTACATCCTAGTTAAGTTGTACTGTTTGCAAGTCTTAATATTCCAAGTTCTATGCTACAATGTAAGTCACTTCTAATTGAGGTTTTAAACTTGTTGGTGAAGTTTCTGAAACTATGATTAGAACAATGACTAGGTGCAACTTATTGCATTAAGAACGTTATACAATTATATATCTAAGTATATTTCTATAATACATAGCCCGCAAAATTGGATACTCAAGCATTAATGCAATCATACAGTTGAGATCATGCACCTTTTTATTTGGCAATATATATATCTTCATATACAAAGTATTTTATAAACAACTAATAATATTCAATGATATTTTAGTGTTGCCTGTCAACCCTTTAAGGGTATATTTGGTAGTAGGATTTGAGCAAAATTTATGTAGAATTTAACCTAAATACTTCTAAGCAGCAAAAATGACATCTTTAAATCCTAGTTTTTCTCCGTTTTGCCGTAATTCCAGGATTTATTAAATCCCATTGGAAGACAAATTTATGGGATTTAGAGAAGCTAAAGTGCAGGAATGTAGGGAGAATGAAAGGGGAGAAAGATGAGGGTTATTGATCCAGTTGTTAACTCAAACCACAATAGAAATAGAAATAGAAATAGAAATATTATTGGTAAATTCAAACAGGGTTATAACGACGACTATTCAACGGGAGTTAATGATAAAAAACATAAAACGACGCAAACAAACTCTCCTAAAGTGTATCCTATGGTGGTGGAGGTCGGCTAGGTGGTTGGGACTGCCAAAGGAGGGGTTGGAATCACTTTGGCAACAAAGCGGGATGCTGAGACAGCAACGGTAGCAGTTGAGGTGGCGAACGGAGCGGCGAGGCGCTGTAGGAAAGGCTGGAACAACCAGTGGACAACAAAAAACAATAGGTTATATATTTTTGCGGATAACGACAGTGAATGGGCGAAGCGGGGAGGTTGCAGGGCAGCAAGGGGCTGTTGTCCGAGCGGGGCAATGAGTAAGATGGGCTAAAATGGAAAGACTGTAGAGAAAACAACAAAAAAACTATTGTCCTAGGGGCGGTTGCAGCAGGGAAGGATGATGTGGAGCGGCAGGGTGCAATGGGGAAAGGATAAATCACCACTTGAAAATCAAGATACAAACCAAGCACCACTTGAGACCCTATGATGCAGCTCTTGAAGGGAAGAAGAGACGCCGACGGCTGTCCCGATATAAAACTCGCCAAAAACCACTAATCCATACCCTAACACACACATAGGTGAGAACTTAAAAGGAAAGAAAGATAATAGGAAAAATATAATAAAAAAGGAAAACGAGAGTATTTTGGTGGTCGGCTCCCCTCTCCCGCTATTTACTTTTCCGTGGTACTATAGCAACCACAACACCATTAGAAAACTGTGCAGGAAAAAATCTCCCACGACAATTATGTTCTTCAATGTTTTCCAAAAGCGAATTAGAAGGAGAAGAAAGATGGGTACGTTACGATTCTTTTGTTACAGACCACGAGTGTGAGAGAGGGAGACTGAGAAGAAGGAAGAAGCGATAATGAAGGAGCAGAAAGAAGAATGAGATGAAAGAAGAATGAGATGAAAGAAGATTGCTCTCCTACGAGGCATGAAGATGAAGGTAGCAGACATTGACTCTAATCGTGAACGACTTACCTGGGGAGCCGATTGATGTGTGGAAAGATAGAAAGATTGACAAGTGCAAGATAGGGCTCCCCGCACATCGATCAAAGCGGAAGTCGACAACGACGATGAGGGAAACATGCATACGCTTCAATCAAGTGCAGGGGAGTTGGGAAGTGACACATGTGCTTTTTGTGTCATGTGCCTTGCATGCAGGATGGAGAGCACATGTTTTGTGCGGTGCGCCTTGCATACAAGAAGTGGCGGGACGATTGGAGTCCTAGTGTGCAGGTGAAGGAAGAACGAAGTTAAGCATCCTCTTTATGTGAAGGACGAGAAGAAACATTGAGCAGAAGAAGAGAGGAGGAGCTAACATGTGAAGGAAGAAGAAATTTGTGTGGGAGCTGAGCCGTGCCGAGCTTAGAGGATTGAGGTAAGGGTTTAAAATTATTAATTTATTAATATATTATTAATTATTAATTATTAATAATAATGTTGAATTAAATCAAGATTCAAGTTAAAGAACTTACAGATTTGAATCAAGAAGAGGGTCGCGGTAGGAAAGAAAGTTTAGGGTTTAATTTATTCAAGTTTTCATTATTTATTAAATCTATGAGCTAATGTAACATATAATGAGTTTAATGTGAATAAATAATAACAACAATAATAATAATAATAAATTATTACATAATATAAATATAATATAAATGTATATATATTTATATAAATCTTAATGCATAATTGAAAAGATACAAATTACATGAAATAACTAAAAAATTAAAATAGGACCAATATTTTATTGTCAAAATTTATTAAGTTTAAATTATTTGAAAGAAATAGTTAAATTTATATTATGAAATGGGAAAAACAAATAATGTACTAATAAAATTATTATTATTATATGATACATCAAAGGTAAAAAAAAGGCAAATTGCCTTCTAATAATAACATTAACATATAATAAAAGAATAATTCTTTATACATTTGACTATAGATTTTCATTCGAGATAAGTGAAGAGAACGATTAGCTAGAGAATCATCAATAATTAAGGTGATTACTCGTGTTATTATGCTATAATAATATTTTACTTTTAGATCAAATGCATTTACTGGTATTGCTACTAATTATATTGAAATTACTGAAAACTCAGGATATATGATTCTATTGAATCTTTATTCATATTACATGAATGATATGTATACTCAGGATTGTTTAAATTATCATAAATATTGAATGTTATACAAGTATATTGAAATTACTGTAGACTCAGGATATATGATTCTATTAAATTTTTATTTATATTGTAGAATGATATCTATACTCTTGATTGTTTAAATTATCTTAAATGTTGAATGTTATATAAATATATTGACTGTTATGCAATTGAGAATGAAATAATTATTATTAGCTAATGATTTTTATATTTTATTTATATGTGCAGACTTGAATATGATGATGACACCCGTGCATGTAAATGAAAAAGAATATTGATACTGTAGTACTTTAATTAATCAAATTTTTATACGGTGCTTCTGTGACGATTGTACATATATAAAATGATATAAATATGTTATTGATATTGTGATCTTGTAGTACCTTAATTAATCAAAATTTTATACGGTGCTTCTGTGACGATTGTACAGATATAAAATGATATAAATATGTTATTGATATTGTGAAATACCTTGAATATTATGAAATATCGTGAATGATCATATTCATAACTATCAAATATTTTATACTAATTTATTAAAAGTTTAACTAATATACATGTTATTTTCTTTTTCATTGTGTTACTGTGGTATAGAGTGTGTATTTACTGGCTTTGGTTAACTAACAACTATTTTAAACTAATATTTCAGATTTAAATTTATTAATTGAAGAATGGATAATGGAAGAGGTAATATTTAGAAGACGTGAACAACCTGACCTATGGTAAATTTATAACCACTTTAATTTTATTTTTCTAGTGATACTTTCATTATTAAAATATGAGTTATAGAGAATGAATATTAAATTAAAAAAAATAATTTCATCCATCCGACCGTCTATTTCCAACTTGATTAATTCAAGTCTTGGGCTGCGTTGTGACCCCGTTGTCTTCATAGCTAGCTCTAACTAAGATTGTATCTTGAGCGTTCTTTTGGGCGAGACTGGGAGGTGTAAAGGAATGTCAGCAAGGTTTCGATGGTAAAGGAGAAGGGGAAGATAGTTTTGTTATTTTAATTTAATTTTATTTAAGTTAATTTAATTTATTACTAACTAATAACTAATTAATATACTTTCTAATTAATTATAATTAAATAAATTTATATGTAACTGTTTAATATTAATTAATAAAAATAAATTACAAATTGAATTTGATAAAATTCTAATAGTTATTAATTAGTTTAATAAACAACTAATCAATTATTAATTAA